ACAGAAGGTTTTCAGGACAGTGAAGTTACTTTATGATACTGGAACAGTGGATCCATGTCATTGTACATCTGTCCAGAGCCACAGACTGTCTAGCATTGAGTGAACCCTAATGCAAACTATGGACTTTGAGTGACAATGACATGTCAATGTGGGTTCATTGGTGGGAACAAATGCACTACTCTATGGGGACTTGATAGCATGGGAGTCTTTGCATGATATGGAAGTCTCTGCACCTTCCACTCAATTTTGCTGTGAACCTAAAACCACTCTAAAAAATAAACCATGTAAAACAAAAGAAGTGATATCAAGGGAAGTGTTACAGGAAAAGTGAGGGCATGTGCTGCCCAGCAGAAAGGCGGAGGAGGGTCTCAGAGCTGGGCTGGGGTGTGCCTAGGTAGGCCCTGGGGGCCCTGTGAGCTCACCAAGCCTCAAGGCTATCTAGCACTCCCTGCCAGCACATGCTGAGAGCTCACCACCCTCAAGCCTGCAGCAAGGCCAGGGAGACCAAGGTGCATGAGTGAGTAGTGCCTCCTCTCCTGGAGCTCCCAGGTGGTGACTCGGCACACATATGAGTGCACTTATGGGCAAGGAGATGTGTGAGAGATGACAGCAGGCTAAGGGGCACCTCCTTGGCCAGGGACTGTGGGAAAGTCTTCACTGCAGCCCACAGCTGAGGCACTAGGGGTCAGGAATACAAAAGGGAGGCTGGGCGTTCCAGGCAGAAGGGACAGAAAGTGTCGGGACCAGACATGGAGCTAGAGTGACAAGCCTTGGAAGCAGAGGCCATGAGGAGTGTGCAAGAGTCTGGGCAGGACCTGGGTAGGCACAGGAGAGGAGCAGGAGGAGGCCAACCTGGACATGTCTGGAGGCAGAACCAAAAGCTGGGTGGAGTGAAGGGCAGGGAGAAACAGGGTGACTGGGACAGTTCCTGGCAGACTAGGTGCATAGTGGTCTCCCTGAGATGGAGGCACGAGGCACACACCTCGGGGGTCAGGTTTGGATGTACTGAGCTGGGGGTGCCCTGCTCCAAGTGTGGTGTGCACTGTTGAGGACTAGGGTTGGAGCTGGAAGCCTCCCTTGGTGGGGGCCTAGGAAGGTGAGGGTAGAGAGGAGGGAAAGGAAAGGCACCCAAGACAGCCTGGAGGTCAGGGTGGGAGAAGACCTAGAGAAACACAAACCAGGTGCAGAAAGGTCAGCAGCGAGAAGGTTGAACAGCAGGGAAGTGAGTGTGGAGCAACCAGGAACTGAAGGAGCAGCAGTTGAGGAGGAGCAGCAGCTGGAAAGTAGAGAAGGAGCAGCTGGGAAGGGAAGGAGGAGCAGTCAGGAACCGGAAGAGAAGCAGTTGGGAACTGAAGGAGCAGTCGGGAAGTAAAGGAGGAGCAGTTGGGAAGGGAAGAAGCACCCAGGAAGTCTGGGAGGAGCAGCTAGGAAGAGAAGCAGCAGCTGGGAAGGAGAGTACCGAGGATAGGAAGGAGGAGCCCCTGGGAAGGGGGCATGTCCACAGCCTGGGGCCCTGGTGGCCTGGATGGGAGGTGAGGAGGTGCCCTCAAAGAGAATCAAAGAGACAGGGAAAAGGTGCAAGGAATTGGGGTCTGGGTATGGCTTCTGAATAGACAACCCCCCACCCCTGATGATACTGACAAGGTGAGGTTCAGGGAGGCCGCCCACCCTTGGGCAACCTTGCGAGCCTGCGGGCCTGGGGCCGAACACAGAAGATAGTCCGGCCACACCCCCTGGTGGTAGAGCCTAAAATCACAGCCATATTTTAGGGACAGTAGGAGGGCCCTGTCCAGCGCCCCCTCCCACCCCCTCTCTCTGTGCTCTTTGAACTCCTTGACTGGCTCCTGTTCCTGTTGGACCTACTGTCCCCTTCCCTGACCACCTTACCTGTGCCTGGCACTGCCCATCCTCCTGTTTCAGCCTGTCCACAAGTGCCTGATGGGTTGCCCACCCAAGCTCTGTAAGGGCTGGGGTCACATTCACTACAGTACCCCCAGCCCCTCCACAGTGCTTGACATGTAGTGGCTACTAAATCGCTGTCAAGCTAATCAGTGACTGAAATCCCTGGTTCTGGGCTGCTTGTGCCTTCTCTAAGCTTCCCAAAGTTTCCGGCTGATTCTTGAGCACAGGGAGCAAGTTCCATCTGGATCTTCATGCCAGCTCAGCCTTCCACACATGGGACCCTGGCAGGGCACAGCCTGGTCTGCAAAGTTGGGATGTGGCAGGACCCACCCCCCGAGGCTGCCTGGGCTAAATCAGCAGATGCACAGTGATGACGGGATGGTACACGGAGCACTGGAGATCCAGGAGTTGCCATACTGGATCATTTCAGTGGGACTGAAGGAGGAAAGTACACACACCGTGGGCATATTTCATTTAAAAAAAGTAAAAGATGGACAGTAACGATTTACCCACTGGGACTGTGCAATGTTCAGAGACCACACGAATGTTCTCTGCAGATTTTCTTGGAAGCACTCACTTCTTTCCAGTTAGCTGCCTTCTTGCTGCCTTGCTCAAGGTGGAGCAGAACTGAGAGAGGGGTCCCAGGCACCTGTCATCCCCAAGTGTGGGTGCCATTTCTCAGGTACTTTATGCTCACAGAATCTATGAATGCCCATGCCACGTGGGAGGCCCTGAAGTCAGTGCAGGCATGTGGCCATTTCTCAGGTACTTTATGCTCACAGAATCTATGAATGCCCATGCCACGTGGGAGGCCCTCAAGTCAGTGCAGGCATGTGGAGGGTTCTACATGGTGCCTGTGGCTGTCCCTGTGCAGGGTTCGGTTCCTGAGGTGCCACCACTGTGTAGTGACAGCTCACAGGCTGTGGCACCCTGTCCTCTGCGTGGTAGGCAACTCTGCGGCACTCGCAGGGGAGACCAGCGCAGTGGCGCAGCATGTGAACTCACAAATGTGTTGCCGATGTGAAGGCGAAGGTGAGAGAACACAGCCTCTGGAGACTGTGCAGGACAATGCATTTGTGGCCTGGGAGGGGCAACATTTCTCCAGCAGAACCACCACCAAAAATGCCAACTGTGATGTTAAGTGGACCTCCATAAAACCCGACATGATTCACTCATCGAGATGACACTGAGAGGGAAAAGGTGGAGTGTGGAAGGAAAAGTGTGAAATTGTTTAACTGACAGAACTTGGATTTGGGATACATAAGGAACTCCAGCTGAGAGATCAGACAGACAAGTGACAGGAAAGTGGGCAACACCTTGAACAGGACTTCACCAAAGAAGATGCCCCAAAGTCTAAATAATATGCCAGAAGGCGATCGATCGGCCTCATTAGACATCACGGAGATGCCAACGAAAACCATAGGACACTACCCATGCCCAGCAGGACGGATGGAATCAAAGATCCTGACAGTTCCAAGTGCCAACCTGTTGGGCACCTTCTTGCCCCACACCCCTCAGTTTGGCCGAGGCTACGTGACAGCTGCCTCGTAATCTGTTTCTGCCAGGAACTGTTTTGCTCCTGGCTAATACGCAAGTGGCTTTTCTTCTTTTTCCAGAGACCGCCCGACCATAAACTTTCTGGGCGGTAATCATTAATCTGAAAGTCCTGTCTCTGTTTCTCTTGAGATGCTATCGCAGATCTGCATTCCAATGCTTATGCTCTATGCCTGCATCTCCTCTATATAAACTATAACTTTTGAACCAATAAAAGAGACTTGATCAGAATACTGTCTTGTCTCCATTTCTCGTGTCTCTTGTCCCATCCAATTCCCACTCCCTCCTCCAGGGTCTGCGCTGAATATCCCGCGGGTCAGGACACCAACCAGGAGGTCAAACAGTTGGAATCTTGTATGTTGCTGAGAAGTGTTTTGGAAAACTGATTGATGTTAGGTACTAAAGTGAAGTGAAGCCATCCCTGTAATCCAGCAGCCACACTCCAAGGTAAAGACTAAGTGTGCCAAAGACCCTGTCCATAAAGGCTGATCTTGCTGAAGCCAAACACGAAAGGACCCAAGTGGGGAAACACATTTGGTAACATTTACACGAAAGAAAGCCACACAGCAAGGAAAATGAAGCTACAATGTGTGTGAAGCTCACGAAAAAAAGGCTGAATCGAAGTCAAGCAAGAGAGGGAGATAGAGAGATGGAGACAGAGCATGCCCACTGCAAGGCTCCCCGCACATAGGGCTCGGGCATGCATGCTGTGTGGTGTCATGGGGAAGGAGCCACCACCCATGTGGACTGGAGGTGGCAGGAGGCCTGGGGGCTCTGGGGACCATGCTGTCACTTCCAGACCCAAGTGGTGGCTCTGCAAGTGCCTTCACTTTGTGGAAACTCACAAAAGTATATGCTTGTGATATGTGCATTTTTCCATCCATCCACACACACACCCACGCATAAACACCCACACGTATAAACACACGTGTATACACACACACACACAGTGCTTTGATACATAAGCCATGGGGAAGGGAGGAAGGAGACCTAAACCTCAGCACCTGACTTCAGATGGGCCTGGGAAGGCTCTTCAACAGCATCGGACCAGGGTGACCTGGTCAGTGTGGCAGGTACTGCAGGCCTGTGGAGCGGGCTCTGCCCTGTGAGGTCTAAAGACCACTAGAGAATCGAGTATCCATGGAGGAAGACACAGAAATGCCAAGGCTGGCTAAGGCGAGAGGCTGGGGGAGCTGGAGGGCCTGCCCTCTCATGCCCACTGGTAGGTCCTGCAACGGTCAGGGAGGCGCTTTGGCGGATGCCTGTGGGATCAAGTGTGAGCCTTGCTCTTGCCTGGGGCCTGTACCTGACACAATTAAGTGCAAACTGGACCAAGCCAAATGGTCACGTGTACTGACTCACAGCAACTTTCTTAACCAACCCACCCCAAACACTATGGCAGCCACTGCTACCTAGGGCAGGGGCCTGTATCGAGGCAAAGACAGACCAGAAGGGGAAAGAATATAAGGGGTGAGGTTTGCACAGACGCCCAGACTTCCACCCGAAATGTTCTCTACCCAAACAAAGGCACGCACACACACAGCTGAATGCCAGCAAAGGTCGGTATACTTTATTCTCCCTTCTCTGCACACCTGTGACCTACTGCTCCCTGAGAACCCCACAGCTTGGGATCAACTCTACAACTGCTGTCCAGCAGGTCAACCATAGAGTATCTGCCATTTCCCCTTAATTAAGAGAACTGAGATTAACTAAGAAACCTCAATTACATTCCTCTCATTTACGTTTCTAAAGGCCTGAAATGTAGCTGTCAGGAATTTCCATCTTGGAAAGGAGTTTATTTTCCATGGCTAAAGGGACTGCCTGCTGTAGAAATGCCCCTATTTCAATTAGCACATATTTACTTCAGACTAGAGGATCTTTAACTATCAATAAACATGGTATTTCTGATTTCCTAATAGATTTGTAAACTTAAGATTTTTTTCTCTCAAAAATTAAGTATCCTAAACCATTAAGCTGCATCTAAGACTGTACAACAGCATTTCTCTACCTGATTCCATTGCTGAAAAAGCTGGCTCAGCCTTTAACCTCTGGCACATACAGGAGAGGTAAGGTACTGCTGCTCCCTTGAGGCAGAGGATGAATGGTGCACTGCCCCACAGTGTGTGGACTGTGCCTGTGCCTCCCTCTCTGTGTGACGGAAGCTAAGCAAGCCAAGGATGAAATGTCTGACCCCCCTCCAACATCACAGAGCTCCCCCCTTAGGTAGAGAAAACCTACATATTTAAACAGAAAAATAAATTCCTGCTATACTCTGAGCTGGACGGAAAACAGGCCGCCAATTCCATGCCAGGGGGAAAAGCGGTGTTCCTCCCGTCGGCATCATTTCCTGGCGAGTTCCAGCACCTTCAGTACCATGGCCCCGATCCCATCGTGGATGTGGTGGATTTCTGTCTCGCACATGAAGGCTGGGGTTGTGACCACCTTGTTTTTCTTGTCGACATGAGCTTCGTGCGCAGAAGTTAAGGAAAAAGCACCACCTGACGAGGCCCAGGGGGATTCTGGGTGCGAAACACTGAAGCATCAGCCGTGCCCACCCCCAGCTGCCCCGTGGTGGTTCTAACTCCACATGGAATGTGGATTGGGGGAGTCCTTCCTTGGTGCAATCTGTGCTGACAGGCCCCACTCTGGACTATTCTTGCGACTCAATTAAATGAGGAGCCAGTTTCCAACCTACAGTATTCTTGAAACTCGAGCGACGCACATCACTCTAGGTGTGCATGGACCCACGCTCACCACACACCTGCTGGCCACGTGATGCCCAGGACCTCACGACCCCCATGGAAAGCAGCAGCATCTCCATCTTCTGGATCAGGAACTAACCCTGAGGGGGCTGGGTCCTTGCGCCACTGTGAGAGTGGGGCAGTGATAGAGGTGCAATCTCAACCTGTGCTACCCAAGCTCTTCCCCCCACGTCACACAGACCCACGTGGAGGCCTCATCTCCATACTAGCCAGACACCTGTCCCAGGCCTGCACCCCAAGCCCAGTCACCTCCCAGCCTTCCCACCTGCCCTGCCCCGACTGCAGGTCTGCTGCCCTCTCTGCCCAGTAGGAAACACCATGGGAAGGGATATTTACTCCCAACACTGCCTGCAAGTGAACTGAGGCTCTCCAGAGACAATGCCACCTTTACAATAGCTGTATCCTCCAAAACAGACCCCCAGAGAGTGGCACTGGTTGCTGCTCTAGCCTAGTACCTGCTGGTGCCCTACACTGCTCTGTGCTCTGAATTTGGCCCACGTGGAAATTCTCCTGGCTCCAGGCAGACCAGGAGGCAGGACCATCCGTGAATCCCCCTGAGGCTCTTGGAGCACCCCAGCCTCAGCTCTGTCCAGGTCCACGCTCCATCATTTCAGAACTCAGAGGTCCCAGCTTTATGGGAAGGAACGAGGCAGTGAGGCCAGCTAGGGTCACTTGTCCACATGCACCCACACAAGAGACTCCCACCAAGATAAAGTAGGACGCCCTTGCTGGCACATCCTCCATGCTCGTACACACCTTCCCTCCCCCCGCACTAGCAGGCAGTTCCTAGCCCTCCTGGTGAGGGGTCGTCCCCAGGGGTCCCGCACATTCCCCTAGCAGGCGTATCCCTCCTCCTCGTGCACAGGGCCATCTCCACACCCCAGCCATGGCAGCTCGGGAACAGAGAGCAGCAACTCATGAGCACCAGGTCCAGGATGAGCTGAGGGTGCCATGAACACCCAGAGCATACTCAACAGGCTGGCTCAGAGGCAGAGACATTCACTGCACCACGTAGCATGCTCCCCCAGGCATGTGGCCCCAGGAACCGGGGAAACTCCACAGAGACACCAGCAGGTGTAGCTCCCAGTTGAAGGGGCCACCTGCCAAGGGCAGCCCTAAAGGGCCAGAAGAGAGGTGTCCCCAATGCACCCTGCACCATCTTGGGGACAATGAAGACAGGCTCGACCTTGCAGCTAGAAAGGATATGGCCACGCCCTTTACACAGTGCTTGGCGCCCAGGGCCTTGATGGCCTCAGCCGTGCCAGCATACGGCCACTTGCCACCTTCCTCCTGCTCATGGCCCACAGTGACCTCAATGCCTTTGAGCACTTTGGCAGCGAGGACGGGTGCGATGCAGCATAAGCTGAAAGGAGAAAAGATGATGCATCAATGCAGACATGTGCATGGGGACACCAGGCTGGGAGGCATGAAGGACAGAAGTGAAGCTCAAGTGGGAGCAGGTGGTCCAGCAGCTATGGGGGGGCCTGTGGCTCTGAGAGGTGAAGTCGGTCCCCTGACTCCCCCTGAACCTAGGCTGCCTGTGACCCATGGGAAGTGGTGGAAGTGGCACGAGGTGGCTCAAGGCTTGAGGCTGAGGTGTCCTCAGCTCACTCTCCACACGCCAGCCATGCAGCAGACCCCCACCCCGAACTCTCCTGCTGATGTCAGGGGGGCCACGTGGAGTGAGCTGGCCAAGCTGTCTGAGTCCCCCAGCCCTGGAAAGGGGGGAGCATGCCAGAGGAACACCACCATCCTCCAGAGGAGGGAGACTAGACACAGGTGTGCTAAGAACACAACACAGAGCTGCCGGAAGGGAGTAAGCTGTGGCACGATGTCGGGTCTGAACACAGCAGCAAGGACAAAACTGAGCTTGCACATCCAGAATCCCAGTTGGCCGAGGCCTCTGCTCACATGAATTAGGACACATTCAGGAGCAAAGGGGCACCTACTTGTTTTTTGTGATTTTGATTCCATTAGGAAGGAGTGGCCGACAGCTCCTCCCTCAGCCCCTCACACAATGTTCCTCTAGCAAGGATGGGCTCCTGGGTGCAGCGCCCTCATCTGGGTGGTGGTGCAGGAGCTACAGGACCTCCTGGCTGAACCTCCGCCAAGAGAACACAGGTGTACTTTCTAAGATGTCCCTAGGCACTGTCACAGGACATCTCTGAATGGTGTCTGGGCAGGTCCTTAAGCGAATGATGATGGCAGTTATTAACAGTGATCGCTGGCAGGGATTTTTTCAGCCTCTACGGCCCACTCAGACAGAGGATTCTAACGTCACCTTGTTCTTTTTCGGTTTGCCAAGAACATGGTGGTAAGCAGTTATCAGATAGTGGGTTGGGACCCCGTGAAGTGTGCATCTTAGTGAATCTTCTTTCAGTCTGTGCACAGCTTTGCTCCAATTTCTCCAACCCAGCGAGACTCCGACATTGTGCAGTTCACCACACTACAGCTCACAGACATGGACAAACAATGGCACTATATTCAAGGATGACCGAGGAGCAACCACTGAGATGTTCGTGGAATCAGAGCTATGAGAAAATCATGTATGACGACACTGACCTTGGGCTCTGTCACTGGACCATCATCAGGCTGCAGGCTGTGTACAGCACATTTGGCTTCCAGGACCATGACCCATGACATAAACAGGGTTGTGTCAATGAAAGAGTTTGGGTGTGCAAACAAGAGAGGACACTCACACACCACCTGCAGGATCCAGTCTACATGCACGGGGCAAAGGAGTGTGATTAGGTATGCTGCGTGCAAGGGAGGGTGGCCAAAAGGTACACTGACTGAGAAGGTGGCAGCTAGTAGAGGTCAGGGGTCAAGAAAGGACTAATTTGGGACCCTCTGGAAGATGAAATAATTACAAAGGCTTCGACCAGGGGAGTGGAGCATCCCCTCTCCTTCCTGTTAAGTCCTCAGAAGAAATTCATATGACCATGTGGCCATGAAATTTGTGGAGCTAGAATGCACCTGTGAAATCACATGAAACCCCCTTAGTTAAAAGGAGAAAATCAGCAGAGGGTTTTCAGGACCACATGGCTCAGAGTGGAGCTGCCAGCTGAGAGCCAGAGGCTGCAGTCCACCATCCTCCCTCGACCCACCAGGCCCACATTGGCCATACATACCCAATGGGCTTCCCAGCACTGTGGAACTCCTTCAGGACACGCTCAACATCTTTATTGACTTTGCAGTCTTTCCCATCTACGGCAAACGTGCTCCTGCCAGGACAGAAAAGGCCTTCCTCAGACAGCTACACACCTGGAGTCTGGCTTCCTGGGGAGCTTGCTACCCCATCCCCAGGGCTCCTGTATATGGCTTCCCTAACTCTTAAGCAATTGAAATGAATGATGTATGTGTGTCCACGTGTGTACATGTATGTGATGCTCCAGAGAATCATTTAATTACGTACATAACTTTTTCCCTCTTTTTTAAAACCTACAGTCACATGGAAATCATGGAAGGGGGATCATCGAGGCAGGGTGGGAGAGGAAGGACACAAGGCACAAGCAAAACTGTGGCCAGCCTGTGACCCACACTTGGCAGCCCTTCAGAGACTGCTCGCTAAATCAAGGGCAGCAGGAAATCGCAGGAGGCAGGAAAAGGAGAGTCTCAGAAAAAACACAATGAAAGATACTCACTTCACTAACAAGGGAAGAAATGCAAATTTAAACAAGATACCATCTTTCTCATCATCAGTATATAAAGATGGAGCTCTGCTGAAAGGTGCTCGAGGAAGGTCTCCATATACTGTTCATGGATTATGCAATGTGCTAATGCCCATCAAATCTAAAATTGTGTACACCTGTTTGCCAAGTACTCCACTTCTAGGACTCATTTTATTCTACTTATGTACACACATTTTATCCCTTTATTCCAGGGTTTTTACTGCAGGATTGTTTACAAAGGACTGGAAATCTTTTGGAGGTGACGAACGTTCACTGTCCTGATGTGGTGTTTCATAGGGTGCCTTCATGTGCCAAAATTTAGCAAATTATACACTTTAAATATAGGTGTGTCAATCACACTTCCAAAATGCTTAAAAATAAAAAAGACTGGAAATCATCTGAGCGACCATCAGTAAGGACTAGTTAACTGAATCACAGTTCATCTATCCAGTGGAATCTATGCCATTGTTAAAACAGTTCATGAACTGTCTTCAAACTATACTGTTACATGAAAAATATAAAGAACAAAACAATGTGTTTAAGATACTACTACTTGGTTAAATTTTTAACGTACCCACATACACAGAATCTCTCTGGAATATACACAAAGTTAGGAGCAGTGACTAGGAAGAGGGTTTAGGGTCAGCAGTGGGATAGAAACTGGATTCCTGCCATAAATTTCTGTCACCACTCAATTATCCCATTGCTTTGGCCATACACTAAACCTTAGTAACAGCAGCAGCCACCTCAGAGGAGCCACTGGCTGAGCGGTCACATGGGCTCAGCAGGAGCCAGCGTATGGAGGGCTCCCTTTCTTCTGGAAAGGTCTGTAAGAATGGGAGCAGAGGCCAGGAAGATGGAAGTTTCCCCAGAGGGACATGAGCTCAGGTACATGCACATACCGAATCTAAGGCCCATTAATTCCTCAAGTGCTGAGACAGAATTCCTCACACCTCACACTTGTGCTTCTATGTTAACAAAACCTGGATTATCAGCCACACTGGGAGATGTGACCCCTAACAGACCCTCCAACTGCCCCTTCACCCCATCATGCAAGGTGTCAGCAGTCAGAGGTAAGGTGAATCATCCTTCCAAGAAAGAAACACTGGTCCTGTCGAAAGTATAAACACAGCTGATGTGGAATGTTCTCTGCCATCTCTCGCCAGGAGTCTTATGAAGAAGGCAATGTTATGGGGAAGCCACGGGAGAAGAGGCCAAGTGCTGCTGTTGGACACAGGGTGCCACTGCAAGTCTGGGCTCAGGTGCATTGACAAGGCTCACAGATTTCAGGAGAGGGAGTGGATGTGAGGCAGGGGCAAGGCTTCTAAGAGAAAGGAGCTGGGAAAACTGGGTTGGAAGCCAGAAGCAGCATTCTGAGGGCCGCAGCAAAGGGGAGCCTGGAAGGTGTAACCTCACTAGAGCAGCTTGCCCAAAGCAGGGTGGGAAGCCAGGTGGAGGTTGCTGTGCCATTGTAGGTGGAATCAAGGTCAGCTGGTCAACTGACCTCATGGGGAGAAAGGATGGACGAGAGCTCATGTGACTGGGAGCTCCAGGCCTGCCCTGCCCCTCCCCCACATCTACCAAACCCATAGTCAAGCTGCTGATTTTGACGGAAGGTGAGACGAGCTCAGGGATGTGGTCTTGACACATTCACAAGATACTGTGATGTGACTCACAGCAGGCAGAGGGAAATCGAGTAAGAAAAAGTCCAGGTGTGGATGTGAGGGCTGCTGCCACACACAGAAGAAGGACGGATAGAGTCCCAGGAAAAGGGAAGGCTTGCTGGGGAGAGCGGCGGCAAGACTCAGGAAGAAGTGAGGCAGCGCATGCAGGACAGCAGGCAAGTGTGGACAGTGCCCAGAGACGCAGAGAACTCAGGAGGCTAAAGGGAGGAGGAATGCAGCACCAGACTGAGTGCAGGTTGAGATGTCAGTGCAACCTTCAAAGGAAGTCGGGAAGGTAGAGCAGCCGAGCAGCTGGCAGTGCAAGGCAGGGGCCACCGGCCAGGGCCTGACTGGGGGCGGGTGTGGGAGCAAGGTCCCCAGGAGGCCGGGAAGTGCCATCAGCAGAAGATCGAGAGAGGGAGGCCCAGAGCATAGATGATCGCAGCTGCACAGCTCCAGGGGACAGCCTAGTGGGTGGAAAATCTCCTGCTCCTACAGGGCGTGAGGGCCACCTCCTGTTTTTCTGGACCACGACAGTGTGTGGTAAACACCAGTAAAGACTTTGCAGCCCTGTGCCCACCTCTCAGGCAGGGACACACTAAGGCTGGCACCAAGAGAGAAAACTGCAGGAGGAGAAAGGACTACAGAGAATGTAAAGGAAATCTAAAATCCAAAGACCACCACTGGGAGGGTGCTTGTCACATCCCTCAGTTCATGTTCCAGTTACTACTGCAACAACCCAAACAGCAAAGCAAGAAAAGCTTCCTTCCTTCTTTTTTTTTTTTTTTTTTTAAAAAGATGACCGGTAAGGGGATCTTAACCCTTGACTTGGTGTTGTCAGCACCACGCTCAGCCAGTGAGCTAACCGGCCATCCCTATATGGGATCCGAACCCGTGGCCTTGGTGTTATCAGCACCACACTCTCCCGAGTGAGCCACGGGCCGGCCCGAGGATGCCAACCAAACCACCTTATAAGGCAAGTCCTATAGCTTAAATGTGTCCCCCAAAATCTCATGTGGTGGAAACCAGACCTCAAGGTAACAGTGTTAAAAGGGTTAGAAATCCAATTATGGTGTTTGAAAGGTGGGGCCTTTAAGAGGTGATTAGATCATGATCCATTCATGGAGTAATGGGCGTGGCTCTGATGGCTTTATTAGGAGAGTGAGTGAGCAGGTTAGCTCTCTCTTGCTCAGCTCATTCTTGCCACAAGACACCCTGGTCTCTATACAGAGCCACTACAGGAAGAAGGCCTTCACCAGATGTGTTCCCCAGGCCCTAGACTTCTCAGCATCCAGACTGTAAGAAATAAGTTTTATTTTCCTTATAAATTACCCAGTTTTGGGTATTCTGTTATAAGCAACAGAAACAGACTAATACAGCAAGCAACTGTTCATGCTGTAAGATTCTACAAAATACTCTCAGTACCTGCAAGGAGTAAATGCTCAGAGACTGATTCACTGTGTCTAGACCCAGTAGCATGGTGGTTGGATAGCAGGGAGCCCCGCACACACTCTGACAGCTGTCAGGTACCAGGAGTGCTCCGAGAGAAGAAAGTGGAAAAAAACCCATGTCTTGCTAAACTGGTACCCATGCCCCAAGCATAACTGGCTCTGAGTCAGACATCAGGCAAGCACAGGGTTTGGTCCCTAAACCCCCAACATCTGCTCCTGTCACCACCTCCTCCCCTCTATTGCTCCACGTGGGAAGCAACCCAAGACCCCGATGCTCAAACACGTACAGGTTTTTGGCAGCTCCAAAGCCTCCGGGGAAGATGGCAGCATCGTGGTTGGCTGCGCTGAGTGCGGCCAGGGCCGCAATCTTGCCACGGGCAATCCTTGCCGACTCAGTCAAGACGTTTCTGGGAAAGAGCACAGAACCTAAGAAAAAAGTTCAGGTGCAGGTGGAGGGTGGGAGAGTGGGGTCAGGGGACAAAGTCCACAGAGGACGCATTCTACACACAGCTCTCAGCCAGAAGGGAGCATGTTCACACAAATGGGGATTTAATGCTCTCCTAAATCTATGCTGGAGTGCTTGAGATAGGCACCTCTGAGCTTTTGGTGCCAGTCAGGTCCACCAGGAAACAAACTCTCCACTTCCAGGTACAAAAGAAGACAGCTCGGTCAGTTTGATGGGATAGATGGGGAGTTCAGAGGCCACTATTCGTGATGAATGCATCAACCCAAGGGTCGGGTTCAACAGGGAGCTGCTATCACCCTAGGCTTACAGGACAGAGGGACCAGGAGCAGGTTTTAGGAACCAGGAGCCAGCGTCCTAGGCAGAGAAAGGAACCACAGGGGTCCTAATTGGTGAGAAGTGCGACCCCCAAGAGACAGAGCTGTGGCTTCTTCTGCCCCCACCCCCTCCACCTCCAGCCCCCACCTCTAACTGTCCACACCCAGCTGGAAGAAACATAGGAAACAACCTGCAGGGGGCTGTTGTTCTGCAGTCAGAGTAGGACAGACAGGGCCAGGACACACATGCCTCAACAACAGAAATGCTGCTAGAAACTAGCTCAAAGATATTGGGAGCCCAGACAGGTGAATGAGGGGGGTGACCAAACTAAGAAGCACCTCATTTGGTCAACATGAAGGTATGAATATCTTTATTAGCAGGAAGCAACACCATAGGTATTTTCACTCTTCGGTCAGTACTGGAAGGTAAGAGATATTCTGCCAAGGCAGCATAATTTCCAAAACAGCCTGAGGACAACTGCTTTGAAGGACACCATTTGAATACAGATTTGGGCTGTGCTGTTGGAGTGTGTGCTGGAACAGCAAGTTCTCAGTAAGTTTCCACCCCCATCCCTGCACCTCGTTTCACTTTCAGAAGGCTGCCCCTTGGTGTGGTCAATCACGTGCATCTGAGGGATGTCCGGGGCAAAGATCTGGACTTCAGCCCCTCCACGGCTCAGGTGCACCAGTATTCTGAATGGAAGAAAACCACAAAGAACACTTCAAAATATACCCGATCCAGGAGATCTGTGTTTACGCACTTTCAAAAAGATGATTTTAGCTAAGCATCAGGTGTAAATCCCTAATATATGTCAGTACTCCACTTGTTTTGCAAAAAGTTATGGTTGGCTTGCTAACAACACATGCCCGTGATTTCAATTCACTGTCACGTGGTATGTTATGTCGGAATCACAGAAGTAGGCTGTGCAGATCATCTGCTTCCAGCAGCCCCTTTTACAAACTGGTTTGCAGGGGCTGGTGATTTGGCTGGCATCAGCCCAGGCTGCGCTGAGCAGTCTGTCTTCATCCCAGGCATGTCTGACCTCCCACAGGCCATTTGCCTCTGCGAACAGCAGCAGCGTGGGCAACATGCTCAGAGAGTATGCCTAGGGGTGGAATGGGGGGGATGACGACTTCTGGTCACTGCTGAGTAACTTCAACTCCTAGCCTCCCCCAACCTTCCTGTCATGGGTGGAGACATGGAGACCACACAGTACGACAGGAACTCCCTCTCCCCAAGGGCAACAGAGGCCTCCACGGGGGACAATGGCTGACATTTACAAGGGCTCATCCTGTGCTAGCCACGATTCCAAATGCCAATGTGCACTAGCTCACTAATACTATCCAGATGTGGGTGCTCTTACTGTCCCTTACGCAGAGGAGGAAATAGATATGAAGCAGTAAACGGCCCCAGGTCACAGTTAGTACCTGGCAGTTAGGATCTGGCCCTGGTACTTGGGTTCTGCTACTTGTAAGTAACCCACCCAGGCAACCCAGACAGCCTTGCCAGTCCCCCTGGGAAGTTTCAAGCTATCTCCTGGCCATTCCCCGCCTTATAGCTCTTCATCATCCCATGACCAAATCAGGAAACTCTTCCTGGCCCTCTGCTGCCTGCCAGCTCAGCCTCTCCAACGCTCACTCCATGTCTAGTGCCAACTCCAGATGGGGTGGGCATGGCAGCCTCCAGCTCGTTCCTCACCACCACCTCACACTCTCCTCTCCAATTTACTCTGAACCACACAAGTATGGTTACAATAACTTTCTAATAAAATACAAATCAAAACACTACCTACTCAGCAATAGCAATAACTGACTCCTTACAATAATGACCTACGTACAAGCCAGCATACTACACGACCCTTAAAATCGTGCTGTTGAGAACTGAATGGATGGAAATGAGCTCCATGCGGAATAAACATTAGCAAAACCTTCATAAGCGGGATCCCAACGTTTACAAAACGTGTGTGCTCTGAAAAACACCAAGAGAAATGCTGGAAGTGACAGTTCTCTTTTGTGACAGTATAACGAGTGATATTTTAAGACTTCCCCTATAGTGTCTCCTCGTTGTTTGCCACTCGTTTCTGCCTTTTTAAACAGAGAAAGAGTACTTGAAACACAAGCTTTCTCTACACGTTCAAAAAAAGGGGCAAACTGCTCGGGGAGAGGTCGAGGACCAGCTGTCGCCGAGGGCTTACGCAGAGGCCTCGTGGATCTCGGTCCCGTCGTAGACTCCGCATCCAGACAGCACCTGCGAGAGGAGCGGGAGCTGGCCAGGGCAGGGGCGGCCTCGGGAGAGGAGGGGAGGGGGCGCTCGTGGGCGGCGGGAGGGGGACAGAGAGGGGACGCCCTGGGGCGGAGGGCGAGGAAGGGACGCCCCGGGACGGCGGGCGGGGGAGGGGACGTCCGCGGGCGGCGGGAACGCAACTGGGGGCAGGGTCCGAGCCTGGGCGGCGGGCCCTCGACCCCGCAGTCCACTCACCAGCGCGACCCTGGCACCTGGGCGCGGCGCGGAGCCGTGCAGGGCTGCACGGGGAAAGGGCGTGTGCTCGGAGAGCGGCGCTAACGCGGAGGCCAC